ATTGATTTTCTATAAACGCGTGCACGTTAAGATAACGAAAATATATGCGGTTCAAAGATCACAATAAGCGCACTTTATTATAATAGGTTTTTTTTTTTTTTTTTTTTCACAAAGACCTTTTATGTGAGAAATATACTTTCGGGTAGGTAGGTACTAAATTTAAAACCCATCGGTGTTGACAAAAGATAAAAAGGTAACGCTGTACACGCTATAATATATATATGTGTGTGTGTGTGTGTGTGTGTGTGTGTGTGTGTGTGTGTACTGATGATATTGATGACTGTTACCACGACAACGCGTTGTCCAGTGGACAGGAAACAATTTTTTATTTTTATTTTTTTTCCAGCAAATCTGAAAAGACGGTATCCCCGCGATATGAACACACTTAACGGTAACAAAATATTATACATTTACATTTCGTACAACGCACGTGCAACACCTGGTTCGAATGTAAGTATTATTTTGAACATTTTTGTTTATTATTATTTTTTTTTTTTTTTTTTTTTTTTTTTTTTACGATAATATTGTCACCAGCAGATTAAAACGTAATTTAACTGATAAACTATCGCTAACATTATTATAACCGGTGTTCAGTTTTACAATATCTTAAAACATTTAAATCGTAAATGTAGTGAAGAAACTATTCGTTTCACTATGATGTGCTTTGTTTTTCCTAATGGAAACATTATGTAAAACAATTTTCGGAATCCTGAACACCTAACTAGTTTTTTCAAAACAATTTTCAATTTTTGTTTTTATTAATACTTCTTTGGTTAGACAAACACTTCAATTCATTAGACGCAGAGTTTCTACGTTATTTGGAATTTTCCGAATTTTCAGTAGTCCACCCTCTAGGCCTTTCGTTTTGTTTTTGTAAATTTCTACGTTGCCTTGGCAACAAAAGAATAAACACGACTAATACTACTCCGATTAGAATGGTTTTTGATTCGCAATGATTTATCATGGCACACGGTTTATAAACTGAATCACTCAGTATAACTTCCCAACCGACCATCTACGACAGTGGACAGTATCAACGTTTTAAATTCAAAACTACTTTGGTAGATAATATACAGTTTTTAGATTCTGGCCGTACTTTAATATTTAAGTTATTTAATGAATAATACACTGTTCTTAATTCACGACAGAAAGAATAAATGTCTACACATAGTAAATAGAAATAAATAATAAAATATAACCGTCGCTATAAATAGTCAATAAGGTAATTTTTTTTTTCCTACGTTCGACGGACATTAATATTTTAATTATATAATATATATATATATATATATATAATATTAATGTTTAAACAGCATTTTATTTCCGATTTTAAATCTAGTCGTCGTGAAAATACTAATATATTATGCGTTTTTGATCGTTTGCAGGTCGTTTTTACCGTCACAGCCTATGGAAAGCGATTTGGGAGTGATCGCCGTTGTCTACTTATCAATGTTTTTGGACAATGTACTGCTGACCGTTGTTGGTGAGTTAATAATAATTTTAGTGATAATATTTTAACCGTCAATAAACATTACCTAACGATATCATGACGCGTGTTTTATTATTTGTAATCTGTAAATATTTACTATTGTGTTGTTTAACATTCACATTTAAATAATATGTTACGTTTTTTACTGTAGTAATTCGACTAAAAATGAACGCAGAGACCTGCAACATTCCCGGAATACTTATACCGCATTTTATAAACGCGGTAGAATGTTTAAAATATTTTGGAGATTCTATAGATAAATTACTATAATAGGCATTTCACGTTTTTTTTTTTTTTAGATCATTTATTATTATGATTAAAATTCCGTAAACTTTTCCGTTATTTCTACATTTTTCCCGGTTACATGGAAAACTCCAAGAAAAAACGACCTCTTCAAAGTATCAACTACATTTAAAACGCTACGAAAATGCTCTCTCTTTTTCTTTTTACTCAAAACCTCAAATAATATAAAACGAAATACGAGATGCTTGTTACTTTTACACGTCGACAACGAATATTAACTATGTTCAAAACAAAAAAACCAACATAATTTTACGCAGAGTAAAAAGTAAATTAAAATTATTTATACATTTGTATACGTTACTGCATGGTTTATTCTATAATATTGAGAATTTATTGAATAGAATATAACGTGTGAAAACAATGATAATATGCAGTGCAAAAATAAATTATTCGAAAACAATATTTATCACCAGTCAGTTTAATTCGATCGTAACGAAACGAAAAGAAAAACCTTTACAGCATAAATACTGTAGCTCAGTTAACGATCGTAAATTAAAGTAAGTAACTATTAAACTATACATATTATACTTTCACTCTCTTCCGTATAATATATGGGTAGTTTTTATACGTTCGATAAAATATGTTTCTAATATCCGGGGGCGAGCCGTATACTTTCAAGATGTCAGGGTATTATTTTTAGGGTGTTCTTCGACCGGCACGTTTTAATATATTTCCCGTGTATACGAAATGGACCGGAGTATAACATATATCAACCGCGTTAATTTTTATCTTCCGATACACCGATTTTCGTTTCCATATATATATATATAAATAGGGTATTTTCGTATTATTTATACGTATTAAACGTGTGTACCTATCCATACCTATTGTATTCTCGACTTATCGTTAGTAATATACTCTATAGTGATAACCGTATTGTATTCGCTTTGATATTTATATAAGTGCGCGTTATACCAATAACACGTGTAGTCCAGAGTGTATGAAATACTTTTAATGCGCAATGTAAATAACAAAAGTAATTCGCTTATGAAGCGCCCACGATGTTCTATTAAATAATATTCTGTTGGGAAAAAAAAAACTCTACATTTAACCGTAACACACCTTTCGCTGTATTATTTTATAGTGTTGTATTACATAAAAATAAACTAGGTACTTACGTCTATTGTCAATATATCGAAGTGGAAAAGGCGAGAAAAATTCCAGTGTTAAGGTTATTTCAATAATAAATAAAACTATTGTGTGCCCCCACGTGCAGAAAAAACGCGTCAATCTCAAACTCGTAAATTATCCGTCGGAGAGCAGTTGTGTCAGTTTACATTAAGACTGATTCGTGTTCATCATGGCAAAAACGGTGACTTTTAATAGATTAGATTAGATATCAGTGGCGTAGCAAGAGTTTTGGGCACGGGGGACATGCCTGCCCCTCGCCCCATCAGCCATATTTTTCAATATATTTACTATAATCAATTCAAGTTAATATTACATGTGTAGTTGATGTGTACATTTTGTTTTCACATTTCATTGATTAAGTAAGTACTGTAAACAAATGTTTTTCAACTTCCAATTTATTTATTTTATTTATTTTTTTTTTTTTTGGCATTTTTCCTTCTTGAAGTCACAGATGTATAATAATACATATATATTATTTTTATTCAATGTACAATTTTTTTTTTTTTTTTTAGTATTGTTAATAATACCTACCGTTTTAATAATATTGTATTACAGTACCGATTATTCCTGAACACTTGTACATTCAATGGATCGCCAATAATACGTCTAATACCGCGAACAATGTAACGAGAACCAGAGCAGACCAACCGCTTCTTCCTGGGTAGTTACTTATGACTTATATAATTAATACCTAAGCATTTATTATTAATTATCTGAAACCTAACGATTGTTCACAATCGTTTTAGTTCTTTAATGAAAATTAAATTACAAACCCTGGAAAACGAAAACGAAACAATAGGTCTGCTGTTGTCTTCAAAAGCGATAGTACAGTTGTTTATGAATCCTGTGGTGGGCGTTTTAACGTCCTACGTCGGATACAACTTGCCGATATTCCTCGGTTCAATTCTCCTGGTCGTAATATCAGTTTGTAAGTTAAATATTTTCTTACCTGTATACGTGTGAAAAAATCAAAAAAAAAAAATATCACTTAATGTTGATAATTTAAATCATTAAAAAAATTTTAAAAATGCATCCCTTGCTACGCTCCGAAAAGTACCTGTGTATAAGTATATTCTAAACTATCTAAAAAAAAAAACTCTGAAATGCAGCATAGAATCCAATACATTTCGATAAATTGTATTTTTATTGAAAGTTAACAAAAACGTATACAATTATTGTAATTTAATTGATATTAAATTATAGTGCCTGAAGCAGTTTTTTTTTTTTTTTTGTAAGAAGCATGCTAAAAAAAATAAAACATAGCAAAATTATTAATATAAGATATCTGAAAATCAAATGTAACAAAAAATATATATTAATTTCGAAACTGAATTTATCGCTACTTTATTCGAACTTTGTACTTAAAATATCTTACAAGCTAAAAAGAAAACATCTGTTTCAAATCAACTCCCATTAGTATACCTTACAGTAGCGTTCCACTAGCCAGTGAGTGTTTATAACTCCCCATTCCTAAAAATGTCTCCACTAAATACTTTTTAAGTGTTAATTTATGGAAAATTGACATTTTTTTAAGTGAATGGGAGGATTGCAAAATTAACCCCTCCCTCAATTTCTTTTCCGGCCAAGCCATTTAAAACTATTATAACTTGTAATGTCTTGTAAGTTATAAGCATTATTATAAATTATATCGATTTGTTAAAGTTAATTGTATTTATATTTTTTTACTTACAGTGTTCGCATACGGAGACACGTTCATTGCATTACTAGTTGCTAGAAGTCTTCAGGGCACTGCATCGGCGCTCATCGGTGTGTCTGGTACCTACACTATAATTTTATATCACTTTATTATAACAATCTTCGTAATCATATGTAACGAAATGTACATACATAGACTATTAAATGCCATCAGGAATGTGCTTGATAGCTGATCAAAAACACATGTCCGATTTGAAACGCAGCAAAGTTATGGGACTAGTCATGGGAAGCATCGCCTTGGGTGTGCTGGTCGGTTATCCGTTCGGCGGCATACTCTACGATTTCGTCGACAAGTCTACCCCTTTTAACATTATAATATGTGTTATCGCGTTCGATTTAGGTGAGTGTTACATCCAGTGATGAACGAAATAAAAAAAAATACAAAAATCCAACTAGTAACATTATAAAAACCGTATTCGTTTGTACGGGCAATTTTGGAAACGTGTACAATTTTAATTACGTTAACAAGTCATACTTAGATTTTCGTAACACAAGTTTTGGTGGCTTAAATCTAATGAAAATAAAACAATTTAATAATGTAACGTTAAAAATGTTTGGAATGTTAAAATCATAATTTTTCAGTAATATCCCAAAATTCGTATTTTAGTATAGTTTTCCGAAATTGTATTTATCCACGTTTCTAAAGTTTAACTTGTGCATTCGTATTCTAGACAGCAATAATTAATAGTAAATAACGTTCACCAGTACGATTTTATTGACCAACACACCATAAAATATTGTGCCAATAGATTACCTAACCAAAACCATTTTACATTATACTGTTGGCATAGGCTAAATAAATAATTATACACATACCTGCATCGAAATTGACTATACTACAACGCCTGGCAAAAAAAAAACTATATTACCACATTTTTCACCGGAAGTTTTTTTTACGCATAGAATTGCCGTATCATTCGATGAATTTGGTAAATATTTTAGATTCTGAGTGTAGTGAAGAATTTATTGGTTTTGCGGTAATGTTTTTAGTTTTATTTTTGTTTACACTATGACAAAAATGTCTACCATTACTCTCGTCCGATACGTACGTGTAGCACCATTTCAGAAAAGAAATATTCTCTAGATTGTACTTTGAGGAAGTAATTTTCTATTCATCTAAGCGGTTTTCATAATATCAAGAAAAATCCGGAATAAAACATAAGAAAAAAAAGAAATTTATGAAAATAATGTTTTTATAATTCAGTTAAAAATATTCGTAATGACTTGAAATTCAGACAGAAAACTTATATTTGACTTTTCTAGGGGTGGTAAAACTTTAAAAATATTTGAGCCATATTTTAGCTATTTATAGAAATGTCAATTTTGTAAGTAATTTTTATTTGGTATGTACTCTATGGATAAAATTGTTGACTAAACAAAAACACTTGGCAATTGAACAGGAGGTTAGTTATAAGTCGTAATTTGTGGTCAAAATAAAACAAAATTGAACTTAACGTAGTATATTTTTTTATGCAAATGTTGACGAAAATCGATTTAGTAAAAAATCATTTCAAACAAATGTATAGTTACTGGTCCATACAAATCGTCTCAATATACTTATTTATTTAACTATAATATGGCATATAAATTGTTAAAAAAGCAATACTATTAACTGAGCTCCGCTCGGAATCGCTTTTCGTGTAATCTTTCCTTACATACTTACTTTAAATTTACCTCTGTATGGTATTTTTCAAACTTTTTAACGAAAACAGTGGTCCACCCAACGTACGAAGTATGTCCGTCTTTTTACAAATATGTTTGATTTAGATTAGCGGGTATATTATAATTAATACGAACCGAGCACACGACGATCGAACAACGAACAAATCTGATAATATACTTATAATACTGATAATACTTCGCGGAAATTACTCCTCTATAAGATTTATGTATTTATTCGGTACAGGCCGAAGCACAAAAACAATGTTAGTAACACAACCGGAACAACTAAAACTCAACTAGGACTTAAAACTAACTATAACTACGGTGCAAGATTATTTGCGAAAAACAGTGAAAGATGATTTCGTCGTTTGATGCGACGTAAGCATTAATAAAACATAAATTTATTTTATTGTCACTCGACTGTACACTATTTTAATTAAATCAAATATAATCATACGTTTGAGTGCGTTTTAAATGCAATTTCGCTGTAAGCCTATTAAAACCGACTTAGTTAAATTATAACTCGAAACTAATAACACCGTCGAGACGTACCTTATTAATTTCGTCATTTTATACTGACGAAAATATAAATTCATTTTCCTAACTCGGAATCGATCAAAAAGAAAAACAATCGTTTATAATAGCAATCCGCGTACCTGTGCTGCGCACAACGTTCGGCAAACAAAATAAAATACAATACACTTAGTCTGACGTTATTGATTACAGCGGGACATGTGTGCATAAGATAATATGATATTGTTTTTCTTTTTACAGGTCTACAACTGTATATTTTTAATTTGAATCCCATAAAACAGGTGAATATAATATTTAAACGATTATTTCAATTATTCTGTTGAACGATAATATTCATAACTAGGGCTTGAGACTTTATGCATTTAAAATCCGTAGAAAACAGCTTAGAAACATCAAATGAGCCCTGAAAAAAATTTGAAAAGCAAAAACTACAAGGGCTTAAAGGTGTTTAAAATGTCCACCCCAGCCCCCTACCCCCAATATCAGCTCTGGGCATTAATTGCAATTTTCTAACAATACACAAAACGATTTATACAAAATATGTTTTTTTTATAATAATTACCATTTTACCATGAACATCGGCGACTTTTCAACGTTCTTTTTTCGTTATTCAAAATATTTTTTCCCTCGTTTAAATCATCTATAGTACCTATCTGTATAAACCCTCAGTACGTTCCCCGGTCTATTTTCTCTGGAAAAAACTTTTTATTTTTATTATTTACCAAATATTCTATGGCTTTCGCTTATTTTTCCACTTCCATTTCTTTCCAGAGCTCAGTCTATTTCCAACCTTCTAATAAACGTTATATTACTTTTCGCCGTCGTCTCTCAATTTATAATATTATTTCGAGTAATTTCAACGTTAATATTATTACGTAACAATAAATACACACTATTTCGTACAATTATATTTTCATTTCTAGCTGTGAGACTTCTAACGTTTTTTGGATTTTTTTTTTTTTTGCTCTATAGGCGAACTCTATCAAGGAGATGTTACAATTAAAGCAAACACGTTGTAACAACCATCAGGTGCCTAATAACAATACTTTAACGTAAAACAAACAAATTTCTTTTTATACAGAGTGTCTCACGAAGATATACGCATTGTTATATCTTGGAAGTAATAAATATAATCAAAGAATGTTTTTTTTTTTTATATATATTACTCACAGAGATAAGGACTACAAATATTTATATTGTAATTAATGTTTCATGTTTTGATTAGAAATGTAAAAAATAACTTTTATTTTGTTATTTTCGAAAAATTTGAAAATGACCATAGAGTTTTTTCTTTTGAACGTTTTGACTTATCAACTTTCTATTTTCATTAAGTTCGTGATTTTAAATATTTTTTTAAATTTCAGAGAAAAAAAGTGTACAGTTAATTAATCGAAATAATAATAATCAATTAGAGAATGCGATTACAGTCTGCTGCATAATTTAAATAATTATTAAAAATCACGAACTTAATGAAAATAAAAAATTAATACGTCAAAATGTTTAAAAGAATAAACTCTATGGCGGTTATCTTCAAATTTTTCGAAAATAATAAAATAAAAAGGTTTTTTTTTTTATTTTTTACCTAAACACAAAAAATAAATTGTCATATAAACATTTGTAGTCCTTATTCCGGTGAGTAATACAAATAAAATAGAATTTGGTTATCCTTAATTTTTCCAGAGATATTACAATGGGTATATTCGTGGGATACCTTGTATAATAATACTTATTATTTATTTCGATTATAATGTTTTTGGGTCACAATGAGAAATTATTTAAAATATCGTCGATAATTGTTACAATATAGTCTCACTTCAACAACGAAAATTGGAAAGATCTCCTAAAAGACGGCTATATACTGCTGATCATTTTCGCTATTTGTATAACGTCGTCGGCCATGGCCATTTTGGAGCCTTTTTTACCGATTTGGCTCATACAAATTATAAATCCCGAAGTAAGACGGAACTCAATCGTAACTTGAAAAAAAATACCCTACAATATATTTTACGATGACACGACGTTACATTATTTCAGAAATGGCAATTGGGCACTGTATTCATTCCGGATAGCCTTGGCTATTTGATCGGCACGAATTTTTTCGGCAGTCTGTCGTACACGTTGGGCCAATGGAGAGTGGCCGTAATGGCGACTTTACTAGTCGGTATATCGGCAATCATGGTAAGGTAGTCCGTATTGTCGACCGTATTTGCACGTAATAATAAAAACGCTTTTTCCAGTATAGAATTGTAATTGGTAATAAACTAAAACGTCGACAAATGTTAGATTTTCTCGTTTAATTTAATGGGCTTTGAAAAATTACATGTTCGAAGAATCGCTCCGCGAGTGTTTAATCGTCTGCTTAAAAAAAAAAAAAAACTTTCGGAGAAACTATTAATCGTTTGTACTGTCCAAAGAGTATTTTTGTGGCACAAAAAAAAAAAAAAAACACACATCGTTAAAATGAATTACTGGTTTCTTTTGCGGTCCATTAAGAAACTACGTACACGATTTTGCTCATTCGAATAGTTTACTGTGGACGGCCAGAAGAACGATGTTAGTCGATTACTAGGCAATTTTCGATTGTGTGAAAATTACAATTTTTTTTTTTTAAAAAAAAATAATATTTACAATCTATGTTTCGAGCATGTTTCTATAATAAGCAGATCCGACAACTTGACACATAGGAGGAGAGGAGCTATCCGTTGGTAGAACCCAGCATTATTTGTTTATTTCATTTAACCAACCAGCAGGTCACGACACCATTTTTATTGAAGTCGTCGAGTGGGATTATCAGGAAGTGAATTCGAAGCAAGTTCAGCGATTAGAGGATTTGAGTGTGACTGTAGTTTGGAATTAAATTTTTTATAATGTTTTTAGGCCAGTTGGTTTGGTTAATACAATTTAAAGAATTATTATATTGTTTTAAGATACCGGCCGCTACGACTATCGTGGGACTCGTTTGCCCGCATTTCGGCTTGGGCTTGGGCATCGGTATAGTAGACTCCGCTTTGGTCCCAATGTTGGCCAATTTGGTGGACACCAGACATCCAAACTTACACTACGGGTCAGTGTACGCGCTTCAACAGACGGCCGTCAGTCTTGCATATTCCATCGGTAAGAAGATACACATACAAATTTTAGATTCGGAGTGGAGCGAAGAAGCTTACGATTGCACAAAGATACTGTACAACAATATGTTGTACAATATATATATATATATACAAAATTGGACAGCAATTTTGCTCCGATTTACAATGATAGCACTTTTTTTCAAAGGAAATCTGACTCAGGAGGTACTTAAATTTGGTCATTTTTTAATTTTCTCGGGAGTTTTCTTAATAAATGGAAAAAAACCGGGGAAAAACAAAACATAGGGTAAATGGAAGAATAAGTACAATATTTAACAGATATTGTTTAAAAAAATATATGATACCTATGTAATTATTTCACCATAATATGGCACATATATATTGTTGATAAAGCAACATTATCGACTGAATTCCGCACAGAATCGTTTTCTCTTTAGCAATGGTTTTTCGTTGTTTACAGATATACGTTGAATTTCCCCACTTCTACCCTCCCAAATTTTTTTATTACAAATATATACTTTGACTACACACTGGTCATTGGCCGCGATTACAAATCAGTTTTTAGAATACCGTACAAATTATAAATGCACGTGTTCGTTTTTCAAATAACATAATCGTGTGCGAGTATATATGATCGAATTGATAACGTTCGAATTTAACGGCGCTAATAATACGGGTACAAAATATTAAAATCTCAACTAAACGTAAATAAATTCGTAAAATACATTGTCATCGAATTGACCCCGTACGGAGAACGTGCGTTTATATTTTGTAAAAACGAGATGATATTTTTTTCAATTAATTTTTCACATTTTTTTTTTAGTAGTACCGGCTATTAAAAAACGTCAAAGTCCGTGACTACCGCCGGGAACTATCTTATTTTGTTATTTTTTTTTCTTTTTATGATTCAAGGTCCTATTATCGGTGGCAGATTCGTGAAAACCATTGGGTTCCCGTGGTTGATGCGAACTGTAGGAATCATAAACGTATTATATTGTGGCATGCTGGTTATTTTGAGTAAAGTTTCCAACAACGAAATGGAAAAGGTACGAAACAATACGATCAAATTTAAACTGTTGTTATATTAATAGTTTTTTATTTTTTTTTTATTTGCAGATAAATAGCGGTACATCTATAACCGATTACAAATCCACAAGTGCTGTCGTATCGTTCTTCAACAAGCCGATCGCTTATGAAAAACTCGACGACACCGCGACCGCGAATTAGTATTCGACTGTATAATAAATTATCGTAAAAAAAATAAATCAAAAAAAAAAAAAGAGTTAAAAATTAAATCCACGCTTCAAAAATAGATTTTTTTTACTATCGTTATTATTATTATTATTATTATTTTTTGCGTAATGGAAATTACATTGTTCGCGTCGTCTAACTAGACACGTTTATTTCCACATGGATGCACTATAAATAAAATTAGTTACTTGACAATATTATCTCGACAATATTTATAATCTCGTCTTAAATTTATCAATATTATGGATACACGAACAAATTTGTTTGAATACGAAAATAAACAAATATCGAATTTCATTCGACCATTCGCTGTATTTATTTAAATGTATGAATACATAATAATTTAATATAGATGTTTATAAGTTGTTTTTATTAATTCAAATTTAATTTTTCTACTTAACTTATTTGTTCCGTCGTCTTTTTATCCGCTTTAGCTTTTTTGATAATGCAATGAAATTCAATCTTTTATTCTTTTTACATTTTTACATTGGTATTCTTTTCTTTATTTTATTTTAATCAAATTTCTCGGTTTTTTTTTTTCTTTTCTTTCTCTTCTTTTTTTTTTCTCCTTTCGTACTTTTAATTTATTTATTTTCGAATTTCTTATCAGGTTTATTTCTTTTTATACGATTTTCTTCCGAGTGTTTTTTTAGAAATATAAAATTCATTATTTCATTTATTCCTTTCGTATACACTTAAATTAATTATTAAATACAAATTATTTTTTTATGATTACCGTACCTACGTTACGATATTGTTTCGATATTAGTATGGTTTCCTCGGTAGTCTGCAACAAACAACGGTGAACTGAAAATCTCGAACAATTATATTTTTCGGAAAATATTCCCGATGTTTTATACAGTCTTTAAATTGACAAACGTTTAATTTAAATATTTTGTATTTATTTAATTTTATCGCGAAGACAATTTTTTCGATAGGCAATAGAAAATCGTTATTTTATCTCGTTCACGTCCAATCCGCATCCCCTCATCGCTTCGTTCCGAATTTCCGTACGAGGATATTTTTGTTTTTTTTTTTTTATATTTCGTAATTTCCCACGGATTATGAACATAAATCTTTCTGGTAATACTGCAGTAGATAGGTGTAATTACTTTTGCCCGCGCCGAAATTATTATAGGTCATTCGTTCCCCGCGATCCATTCATATATAAATAACTATTCCTTAACGACTCCATTCGGTACCCTTTACATTAAAGGTGTAACGGAACAATCTGCCACCATTGTCATACCTCACTTAATATTGTATTTTACTTTTAACACAACTGCCGGGAGTCCTTATTTCCTAATTTTCCTCGCAAAACGTCTCGACAGACATTAAATCATCAATCCTCCGTACCAATTTACTTCCTGTCGTCCCATCTATTATCTCATTTATTGTGGACGCCGCCGGTCTCTGTTGTTCAGAATTTATTTGGACCATTATTTTCTGGAGTTACCTGCAATTTTTAATAGAAACCGCTGAAAATAATAGGTAATCGCGGAAAAAAGTTGTGAGACCGGAAATAATACAAAAAAATATAGGTTTTTTTGCTAGACATAATTGTACCGAATTACGAGTCGGTATAATGCGTGTGGTATATACAATGTACGTATATTATTGTTGTTTGGGTAAAATAATTTTTTCTACGATAACGCGGTATAAATTATTTGTTTGTATTTTTAAATAGTTTACCGTGGTATTAGTGTTACTGAGCCGTTTTAATTATAACAATCAATGATTTTCAATAAAAACAAAAAAAAAAAAACTATCTAGAAACTTAAAAACAAAAATTGTTAATATTTTGTAAAAAAAAAAAAAAAAAAAAAGTACAATGATAATAATAATTGATATTATAGTTATAAAATCATCTCGCTCGTAAAATACAAAGTGTACGGATTCAACGCCGAATCACATCGGCGGTGTATCGTCGTATTATATTGCTGACGGTTGAACGGACAATATTTTAAATTAACTTAACCTAACATTACGAACAGATTTCTATAACGCAGCAGCCTCTACATTCAAATACGTATAGGTTTGTTTCGACGCACGATAAAACTATCAAAAAACTGACAAACGCATGTGCAGTAGAGTTTTGCTGTTCCGACACGCCGAAAATCTAAACTCAAACTGTCAGACGCAAGAAATTCGTTGGTACAAACTGGTGTACCAATACATTTTGTACCGGTTTACAAACATTTGATACCAATTATTTTCACTGTCGAAAACCTACAGTGATAATATCAAATAAATATGAATCAATTATTTAAATTATTACCTGTACTTCCCATCTCCCGCTTATTAATATCAGTATAGCATTCATTTTGTTAGATAATTTTATTGAATTGTCGAAACCATAAGCATTAAAGTTAATTTGAACATAAATTATTATCAATTGAATTATTATTATTACCATTTATCCGCTGTTCTTTTATTATTTCGAGGGGTAAATGAGAGAGGATGAAACCGGTGTAAATAGTTTGTCACACATGCACGTGATGGTGTGGACAAATTAAACCGGTGTCGTTTTTTTTTAACACCGGTTACTCGAGAAAATGTCTCGAATTCACACCGGTTTGTACTAACGAATTTCTAGATTTTTGTTCCGACACGACATTATTCCAGATTTGGGATTAGTCTCTGGCGGTCAAAACGATCTGCTAATTCGATTGGAGACTAGTAGTCAGAGATCCTAGATTATAGTTTATTTAGTGGTATTCGTTTATTATACGCTATCAACTATTTACGTCCGAATGTGTACCGGTTTTCACGTTTAGAAAACCAGGTGATCCATTTAAGTGGGTACACTCATTATCTCGGAAAGTGTTAAATTTTTCCAGAATTTATTTTTTAGAACATTTATGAAACAAGCATCTCTACAATTTTGTATCTATGTTATTTTTCGTCACCCTTGCCATTTTACTAACTCTCCGTCTATTTATGGGATTTTTAATATAGGTTGCCATTTTAAAATCAACAGTATATAGTGGTTTCGCCCCCGAAAATAAGGGTGACAATAAATAATAATATAAATATAAAATTGCAGAGCAGCTTGTTTCTTAAATGTTCTAGAAAACAAATTCTGAAAAAATTGAATACTAATAGTGAGTTTACCGACTTAAATTAATCACCCGGTATACTGTTATCTATCGCTATTGTTTCGTCTTTCGCGCGTAGTTAACGCTATCGCATACAATAACCTCAAGAGAAACTCATTTACTACTCGTCCGAGAAGTTTTGTTTTTTTTTTTTTTTATTTCAATGAAGAACTGCAAGACGAAGAACTAGATGCTAGGTAGTTATCGAAATCTTCAATATCACTCACATGTTTAACTTTTTAGTACACAAAACATCACAGATAAATAAAACGTAAAAAACGTTTTATTACAAAAGACTCAAGGACAAGATTCATCCTTACCGGATTTAATATCTTATCTATATTTTGTAGTTACGGAAAATCCGAAATTTTGTCCGAATGCCTTCCAAAACGTTCCCAAAAATCTCCGAATCTATAATCAGTCCACGTTGGCGCATGCGCAGCAAATCAACCATTGGTCAATCCACAACTAATCCCGATTCCGCGTTGTAACAAACCTATTAGGTATTAGATGCTCGTGTATAAGTACGCTGTATTTTTTTTAAGAGGAAAACAATTCGTCGACAAAATAACAACGATTAAATGACAACACGACTGGAATACAAAAATACTTACAGAAAAATTAAAAAAGTAAAAACAACGATTGCCGCACATAAATTGTATAGACGCGTGAGCGTGGGATTTTATACCCACGTAGTGGGGTCGGGGGTTTGTATGGGGACAATATTCAAATCGATCAGAAGGCCAAGACGGCGGGCGGAGCCGGTCTGGTCGAAAACCATGCGGCCAAAGGTCGAGAAATTTAGAAAAAAAAAAAAAAGTCATCCATATGTCGTCTGATGGATCGGTTTTCCGTCGAAAAATATTATATTATCGAAACCTCCGTAGTGTCTCCGTCCGTTATCGATGCATTAAACAAATATAGAAAAAACGGTATGAGAATTTTTTTTTTTTTTGTACATTTTAAAAATCTTAAATATTCTAGTGGCAATACAATATTACGTGGGGTAATCGCTGTAGGTAGTACACCAATTATTGTAATATTTCGTGATTTCCACCAGAACGCAATATTCGATGGCACGAAATTTCGATACTTTTTTTTTTTTTTTATTGATCACTCGACCTAGGGCCGTATTATGGGCTTCGAACAAACTACCCGTTCTCGGCCAAGACTTTTCTCGTTCGGGCCAGCGCGACGTACGGTTGAAAGGGGGTTTAGAATCGGGTGATCCTGTTGTCGGATGACGGGGGAACGTCGTATTCGTTGACCGGAGTCAGGGGCCGACTCCTGGGGATCGAGTGTATTTGCGAACCGGCCGGAGAATAATAGTTGGGGTTCGACTGGCCTTTGAAAGTGGACGAATGACACTTGGCCGGCACCGCCACGTGTACCGAATCGTATAAAGCCTGAGTGGACCTGTAGTTGACGTCCGTGACGCTGGCCGTGTGACCGTAGCCCAGCGACGGTAGCGAACTGGTGATCTGTTCGCGGACGATGCCGAACATCATCATGTACGTGCGCGGTATGAACACGGTGACCACGATCACGGTCGCTGTTGCCGTCAGACCGACCATGACGCACGTGTCACACCACTTTCTGGGCAACAGCGTGTACGCCATACACCAGCACAACCAGACGACGACCATCAGGTACGCGGCGACCGCGAAACACGCGCCCTCCCGGTAGTTGCGCTTGGACCGGAACACGAACGGGGACGTGGCGCACAAGAGCACCAGCAACAGACCGTCGTAGGACAGGCTGCCCAGGAACAGGTGGCCGCTGTTAACGAACACCCGGCACAGATCGGACGACGGCACGATGGCGTGTATGGCCAGGAACTGGAGCAGCAGCGCGAACTGTACGGCGACGGTGAACGCGCACAGCACGGTCTGCAGGTAGCCGTTCACGTGGCTCATGAAGCTCGAGTCGCAGTCACACGCGGCGATCATGATCGTCCGGGCCAACATGGTGGAGAACACTATCGAGCAGCTGGCGGACGCGCCGAACAGTTTGGCGTAGCAAACGGCATGTGGATACGCGGTGTCGTCGACAGCAAATGGCACGGCGCTGGCGTACATGAGCAGAGTGCCGACTATCAGCACGAACGAAAACGTCGGGTTGCCCTCCATCACGTCCTTCTTGCACACCCGGACCAAGATGAACACGGCTATGCACGCGGCGCATACGGCCCCGACGACGGCCACGGTCAGCGTCGACGCTACACGCACATCCTCCTTCCACGTGACCCAAACCGCAGAGCCGAAATCGGACGTCGGTGGCGGCGTTGCCGTTGGCACCGCGGATAATGAACACGTCGGGCACGCGTTCTCCGCGCAAGCGATCAGGTACGCGCCGTCGCCGTTTAACTGTAATCGTCGCGTACCGTTCGAATCCTGTAAATACGAACCGATCGTCTCGCCGTTGCCCCCGTACTCGGTCACGTGTACCAAGGTCACGTTGTACTCGCTGTCGTCCGGTAACAGCTGCAACTTGTCGAGCACGCGGCCGACGGCCCCGGCGCTGTAACCGACGGCCGCAGCGGCCGCCGACCAATTTCCTGTCGCCGTACCAACGCACTCTGATGCCGAGGCATTTTGCCCGCACTCCGCTGGCTCGTCCGCCTTGCCGTTGTAAGCGTCCGCTATGCGCAGCAAGTCCGCGGCCGTCTGTACGAACTGCGCGGAAACCGCCTGCTCCGCTGACGTGACGCCGGTATTCGTGGCGAGGGTCGTGGCCTGTCCGTAGTCGCTCGTGTTCATCGTTCCGCCGTCGCCGCTGTTCTTGTTGGCGACCGAACAAGTGCCATACGCTTGAAACACGTACGAACCGTAAACAAAATCTGAAATAGAAAACGATCGGTTTAAAAAATTTCCGTCACCGGATATTTTCATACAGCCAAAGAATACACAATATGACATGGATGGCGAACATATTTTAGTGTCTGCGTGTCAAAATAACAATTTGATTTTTATTTTGACCGAGCTGACGCGTCAATATAAAATAAATACATTTGTTGGAAGTACACACAACCACTGTAACACATCGTTATAATATTTTCCATGTATCAAGTACGTAACTTGATAATTGATAATTACGAGACTTATTATATTCATAAAATAGCTGGGTTAATAAAAAAATTTTTTTTTTTTTTTTTATAAAAAGTGAAATCAAAATATTATAAATTACGCGTAAATCCGCGAGTAATTGAAATTATGCACACGTGTCAATGGCTCGCCATCCCTACATTATGGTTTACTCAATACTGATAGATTTCGTAATGTTTGTCGGAACCGGATAAAACGAATTCACGGTTTTCAGATTAAGTGTGCGTTTTGTTTCTCCTTAAGCCAAGGCAGTAGCCGGACCCAATTTTCGGGAGGAGGTTTTACATTATCATGAGTGATCAATTATTTTCGTTACATACATCGAAATAAAAAAACGATTGAAACGATACTTCTGAAAAAAATTAGGAGGGAGGGGTCGAATCCCCAAAATCTCCCTTCAGATATCGCCTTGCCCCGAACCGGGGTTCCGGTAAGTGTTTAAAACGAATTGTTTTTAAACGTTTTAAACTAGTGGTGCTTTTGTTCGTCATTGCTTGCACATAGAAACGTTTAAATCGATTCATTTAGGATTAAATATTGTACTATAAACTTACACATTTAGTATAATTATATTAGTCGATTAAATACCTGGTTTAGGTGGTAATGGTCCGTCCAATGGTATGATAATGAAATGAGATACATGAATATTTGATGATGACTCGAGAATTAATTTAATGATACTTTTATTCGCTATAATTACGACTATTGAAGATTCGTTCAAATTCCTAAAAAATAAAATTTGAAATATAATATAAATAATATACTCGAAGCATGACATATTATATTTCGTCTTTATATTTACGCATGTATGTTAAAACGAATCCAAAAGTTCAGAAACTATATTTTAATTAGTAGGTAGATGCAAGTGTGTAAACTATAAGCAGGTATATTCAAGTATATAGTACGGGCAACTATTGAAATTATTATATCAAATTAATATAGAGAAAAAACTATTTAATACGGAATTAAGGTGTGTTGGTGAATATTTCAAGTACCGATGTATATAATTAATCGTAATTATTAAATCGAATTAAACATGCGTTTAAGGAGTAAGTACAGTGGCGTAATTTTGGTGGGAGGTGGAATGCTGGTGTTTTATCCCCCCCCCCCCCCGGTGACTTTTTATTTTTTAGCCGACACTGCAATATCATTACTGACGTTTGGTTTAAAAAATATTTTATACTAAAAACTATAATATATGAAATTAATGGTGAATTCGATTGCGTTTACGGACTGTATACAAAGTGTTAAACGATAGGATAAATCGTTATACTCCTTATAACGCCTCTAAACTTCGCCCCTTCCGGGCCATTGAAATTTTGTAAACAAACTTGTTCTACTCTGAATGTCGTTTAGTATGAGCAAATTCTATAAATTTATTGTATTTGGTATAATTGTATATGAGCGTCAGTACATTGCAGCGTTGTAACTATAACTGATATATATATATATATACACGGATAGTACATGCATATATTTATTCGAGTAAATTTATTGTTACCAAGGTAGTTATATGCATGCGATAACCGGAACAATAATAAGAGATAACACAAATACACAATTTAAAATGTGTTATTTTCTTACTTAAAATAATTCGATTAATAATATTTACATTACACATGCACGTTCTTTAAATTTTTGAAAAATAAAATAATAAATTTATATAATATAATGATTAAATTTTACATTAAAAATTAATGAAAAAAAAAAAAAAAAAAAACAATAACCTTATTGATGCTTAAATAAAATTAGTTTTGTATATTTCGATTGTTCATTAATTGTTTTAATTTCATGTAACATTACAATGTCGTATATTTGTAAATTATCAAATGTGTCAATTGATTTTGATGAGTACTCAATACCGAATAATATTATCTTCACAGCAATCAGCATCAAAAATAATTCCACAAATATAATTTATAAATATTGTTTACTGCGTGAAATATAATATCAATAGATATTATAGATAGCAGATTGATAAAATGTGTTTCTTTATCATAAACCACAACCTACCGCATATAAACGCTATGGTAACATAAATCGAATTTATAGGTCTATGTATGGTAACGATTGCACTCTTCTGTCACAGAATACACAGTGCATATTAAGTGTAGGAATTTACATGTATATATATTATTACCTATGGATGTAATGTGAATCTAATACTCTTTATCAGTGAATACTTTCTAATTTTTTCTAAATTATTGCTATTGAAATTTGTGTGGGGAAAAATATAAAAATGCGCTCCCCCCCCACCCACTTCAAAAATATTACCAAATTACGCCACTGTATAAGTAATACAAGTGCATTACATAATATTATTCGCTATATGTTTCTGTGCAAAATGATAAATCGATAAACAACTTTAGGTACATATTACCTATACACTATGTAATGTCAGACTTACCCTAGTTCTCGAACTAAAACGGTACTGTTTATACACAGCCCGTTGGCATTAGCGATTCCCTCGAACCTTCGGGCAACTTCCGAATCTTGCGCCACTAATACGTCCGCGACGCTAATATTATTTACAGTCAAAAATTTGACCGCGGATTCGACGTGGGCGTCTACGTCAATTATTGGTCCTACCGCGGTGATAGGTACGTCCAAACCGAGCTGTGGGCCGTCCACGATTTTCGTTCGTACGTCATCGGTCGTGTATATGGCTGAGAAATCCAAATTCAATACAAACAGTTTTACTCGCGCGAATGCGTGAATAATATATAATATTAATTACCGATTGGTATTGTCGAGTTATTGCAATCTTGGTCTACTACAAACGATATCAACGCTTTTTGGAGATCCGAACTTCGAAACGAACACACTTCGTACAGCGTTAGTCCTTTTAAAACAAAATAATACGAATATTAAACCATTACAAGTAATAATAATAATTTAGTAATATCAAATCGATTAGGACTCGGGGCTGCGATGCGCAACGTAGGATCTTTACGTGACGGTTCACGTCACACAACCGAGACTTTTATCGCATAAATTGAAATTTATTGGCCGTACGTTTATAGTTTTCCTATTATAAAATTTCATGTGATATGTGTTCGGTTCATTTTTTTCACAAAAAATATGCATATTATTGTATGTATGACGTGTCGAACGAAAGTAATACAAGCTCGAACTTGCGGGGTACATAATATTGTGCCGCGGTTCACAGCGCAAATGTGTTCCACCATAGATTTTAAAAAATATTATAGACAAATGTTCCGAAATCAACGGATCAACTCGTCCAGTGAGCTCACCCAAAGTAATGCCGGGAACGTAATTGATTGAGTTTAAAATTTGCACAACAGTGACCACCATTTCCATCATATGAATGCCCGTAGACGTCGGGCCCGAACATTTCTCGTCGTAAACGTCGAATAAACCTGAAACGTGTTGTTCATTGCACAATCAAACGTTAAAATACCATTGTATACTTGTATTAGTATTTTGAAAAAATTTAAAAATTACCGGTCAAAGAAATATCGCCGTTCGTCTTGAAAAAACTCATCGACTGTCCATTGATTTGACTTTGTTCGCATTCCAGACAATTCGATACGTGCAACGCGCACACTATCAACATCAAAAGACTTCCAAACCTCATAATGTTATCTGTAAGGTACGGTGTTTCGTATAAGATAATAATATTGATATTAGGTATTGCACGTCATAATACACGAATATTAACCATTTAGTAGGTATAGATTAATAACAGTGCTAGAATTGAAAGGATGAAAGAAGAAGAACTATAGGACAAAAAAAAAAATTATTGTCACTTTCAGTTATTAAACTTGAAGTAACCAATTTCCCCATCAATTTTTTTTTAATATATATATATACCTACACTTAAAGTTCAAATATTAATCAAAATGCTAAAATACTTACCGTCCCATGTGTCCCACTTAAAATAAATAATAGATATCTAGTAGAGGTTAGAGGTACTCTAAAATCTCTGAAAAATTTGTTAAGGGACGGAGTCCCCCTGCGCACCCCTTTTAATTCGAGCACTGAATTTAATAATAATTAACACGTTACGAAAAACCAATTGCAAAATGTCGTTATCTACCTTTTTTCAATAATTTCATGTAAGACCTTTCTTATATATTCTACAACAAATTTATGAAGATGAAACATGTGTAATATGTATTGTGACATTGTAATGATATAATATTTTTATATTATTTTTTTATATACCAGCGTTCAATATAGATACTAATATAGTTAGTAATATCTCTTCAAGTAATGGAAATTGGTTTTTGTTCTGTTTAACGTGTAGGAACATAAAATTAATCTCAATAACAATACCTATCGTATACATTATAGGCTTTCGATAATGAAAATTAACTTTGATCCAATTTAAGTTCTCTGTTTAAGCTTCTCGGTAATAGTCGTTTTTATGGTCATCTTCAAAGTTGCCAAATTTCGCGATCGTAACATAATATTATCTATTTTGTAATGTACTTGTTTATTATAATATGTTACAAGTGAAAATAATTATATCTATGTCACATAATACATTGTGCATTTACACTCCATTTCTTATATTAGAAACTCAATAATTTAAGATGTGAAAACGTATATCATATATATTATATTGATTTCTGTACGTAAGTAGATTATTGAATTGGAATAGTAGTGTTTACGTTATTCGGTGTAAAACATTAATATTTGATAAAATATATTACCTACATTATTACCTATATTAATATTTTATTAGTCTTATCCGTTTGTGATAATCGTTAGGTATGTCGACAAGAATAAAAAAAAAAATATGATTTTAACCTGTGTACACAATAAAATTTAAATAAATCTTTTAATTTTCTAACAACTTATTTTCTTATATTATTTTATTCAAATCAACCGTGTTTACCTACAATAACACGAACAAAAGACTAAATATTATATCGACCAGTGACGAAGCCAGGGAACCATGCCCTCCTCCCCCATTTACGTATTTTTAAATAGTTTTATGTTTATGAACTATTTTATAGTGTATGCGGGTTTTTTTTTTTTTTTTTTTTAATATTTCATTGATTAAGAAAGCAGTATATTTTTAAAAATGTACCTCATTCAGGAAATTAACGTAAATAGACAATCGTGCAATTTTGGGTTTGTCCCTCTCCCCATTGGAAAACCCTGGCAACGTCACTGCCACAGACCGGCATAAACATTAAAACCTTACGGGTACCTCCCTAAACGGTCTATATTATCTAAATTGCTTATATAGGTACCTACAACAAATGAAAACAGAATTTCACGCGTTATAACACACGGTTATATCGAATTATACCTATGCGACAGTTTTCCCAAGGGAACGCTTGAAAAATTAAATTTGTCGAATTACCCGCATTCAATTTCTGCGGGAATGTGCAGTGACAAACCATCTCCCTTCGGAATATCGTTTTTATACGTAAACGACGACGTTTCAACGCTTGCAAATTTAATTTTCAATATACGACCACAACTAGCTAATGTTACCTAATCAGGTCACATAATATTATAGCTCTACTTACACCAACACTGCAGTCACGTGACCATACCTTACATCGCAGTTCCCGGAGTTTTTTTTTTTTTTAAGTAGCTTATACGCACGCAATAAGTACACCGACACAATTTATTGAATAACGTACCTAATAACCGTAATGATAGCGTTTAAATCGCTCGTCCAGGCCAGCTGACGGCTGGGGGATTTTCGGGTCAATTAAAATTTATACTTAAAAAAAAAAAAATCATTACTTATTTGGCGTACTATAATGAACGATACACCCTCCTCTCTCGGGACACAAGTTTTTCTTCTTGCACGTGTTGTTTTTGTATCTTTATATAGTATATACATTTTTTTGAATGTCGTATTTTCATAACAATATTTAGCGTAGAAAGTGTACTATCAAATACACACATCACATTATTTTCTTTTGAAACCAAATCCCGCAGGAATCTATCCCTATATAATTTGACTTAAACTTATAACCTTCGAATTTGTCCAACTATGGTAGGCACCTATAAGTATACAGTAATTCAGCTGTAGATTGAATTTCGATAAATATTATAACATTAGCGAGCGGATGGTTTTTCATTTGACACAATTTGTTTTTTATAAAATCTAAATCAATACGGATACAGATAATAAGATACAGAAATCTGTTCTATTATACTTGAATAATTAAAATTACTGTTTTAATTTTACATATTTGTTCGATTTGACCAGCTTGTTCATATTTTTATATTCGTCTTATTTCCAGTGCATATTTAGTGGTTATTTTACAAATTTTCCGTAACTTTACAAAAATAATATATTTCGTAGCGACTATTTTTATTGTTTCAGAATTATAATTTTTTACTATTGATGGAACTTTTGTATATTGTATATTGTGTTATGTTTCAATTATAGGCGTGAGCTGACCACGTTGACAGGGGTGGCAGAATGTATATATATATATATATATCATTATATATTATATAATGTACAATTGAATATTATTTTTGTTATTATTTATTAGTAAGGTTCGGTTTAAACTTTCAATAAATGGTGTCTAACGTTTTTTAGTACTTTGGCCTTAATAAAATTAACACATTGAAAATTCCAAACATGCTTCGTCTTCATTAAACAACATACAACAACGTGTTTTAAATATTAAAATTAAATTACCTTTCCATAATGATATAACGTGTTCTGCAATTGAACACGCACATATACCAATAAACAAATTAATAATAGAGTTTTTCCAGAATTTTAAATAAATATACAAAACATATTACAAAACCCACACGAACCCACATAAAGGAAAATGTATGTCAACCTTAAACTTTTCGGACAGGTTTGGACAGTGGAGAGCGGTGACACCAAATTTGTGTTGTGACACAGCACGTGGTGTTGTGATAGAGCTCAACAATTCACGTCCTACCCAATCTTAAAAGTGGAATATCTCATCAACGGATTAATGGAAACAATTTCAACATCAACATTCAACATTTATTAAAACTATCTAAACTACTATAATTCGTGTTGTCATTTGAAAACTAAAATTCGGTAGTTATTTTAACCCCGAAAAAACGAGTAAAAAAAAAAATGTTGATATACTATTTTAGAGGTGAATATTGTTTCTTTCATCATAAAAAAAAAGCCACTAATGGAACACTTTGTAGAGATAAATGATCCAGGAAATACATTTCTTCTTACCAACGAAGTTTTTGAAAAAACCAACAGTAAAATTATTTGAAAATTTTCTTTTGCTATTTGGCCTGATAAAGAATGCCGTGAAAACGTTTTACATGTATAATTTATTACGGGCGCAACACCGTACATGACTGTAAAAGTCTTACAATCGTTATTCACTAAAATGATTTATACGAGATCACCTACGTTGTATATACGTTCGTATCGTAATACCGTGATACTGCATGTCGAAAAAAGGAGAATAAACATTTTTTTAAAAGACGTTAGTTTAATTGCTAATGGTAAAAATGTATTTTTAAAGTTTTCATCAAGATTAAAATAAATTCTTTTTAAACCATTGCTCCTGAAATTTCTCTACCGTCCCAACTGACAAATTACTTGTTGGATGTACATGGTTGGACGCAACATCATATTATTAGCTAAAACAAATATTACACTAACTACCCATATGATTATAATTATACAATAGGCGTGTCAATAAATATAAGAATCTTATAGCACGAGATTGCTTTTTTAATATCAGAAATAATTACGTATTAAATTACCGACATTTTATAATATTTCAATAGTAATAATAATTACATATTATATAATAATGTGTGTGTGTGTGTGTGTCTGACAGCTTTGTTTTCAAATTAAACTTTCTAACCCAGCAAACGTAATTCGTTGATTCGCAGTATATTATGTCGCGTGCTCTAATTACAATACTGGTATATTATTTAATAAGTCTGTATATGCGTAGGTATGCATCGAAATAATCCAAACTTCTATGGAAACGCCAACAACAAAAACGTCACGCGTCTGACATTGTTAGCTCTTTCTCCGCCGTTCGAAATTAAATCAAAAATATGATTAGGTATAGGTAAACAAAGGGCCTGTCTTTTTAACGAGACGACGTGCAGACAAATGGCAATATACTATAGCAACAATAATATTCTAAAATAAAACCTAAAATTGTATATTATCGTTTCGTTTGTTGCGTTACCGTGTATTAAGAGGACACTATACCGTCCCTGTCTTTCAAACACAGCAAATTCACTTTCAACAGGACAAATTTTCTGCTGTTCGTTTTAATATAGGTCGCTATATTACCAAAACTACCGAGACAATTATCTGTGCTCCTACATCGGTTTTTTTTTTTTATCTTTTTAATTCTCAAGTGAGATACATGCATGCGTTATTAAAACCGTTATATTTCACTTATTCGTGCATAACACGGAGAACCATACCGACGCAGGAAAACACACAGTGGTCTGCGGGCCTTTAAGTTCGGTAATATTTAGCCGATTACTCGATTCGCTCTGGTAACATATTAAAACTGACGGCACCGAATTCGTTCTACTACTGAACGGCACCTGCGTCGCGCGTTCGTTACAACACGGAGACGACGCGCCCTGTTGTTTCCAAAAATCACCGCGGACATCGGC